TTTTAATCTGCATTTAAAAAGGCGGGATTGTCAAGTGCGAGTGTGTTGTAATTCATAAATGATAAGGTCCATTAGCACTTGAATTAAAGCATAGCATGTAACACTATGAAAACACAACTATGTCTACAGAGAAAACTACAGTCATTGCATTAACACACATATTTACAAAGGGTTGTATTTTCAAGAGGTGATTAATCACTTCCAAAAATCAAAGCAACAACTCTATAAAGGTAGGAACAAGGAATAACAAAAGAAAACAGAGGAAAGAACAGAAGCAAAGGATTGGAAAAGGAATGTGCAAGCGTTCTCTCCTCTTTATAGTGTTCTGTCTCTTTGTAATTTTGGTCTCTCTCATGTTGGACATCAAACAACATAGAAATTGTTTTTTTTTCTCTCCCAATTTTGTGTACTCTGTAATTATTAATCAGTCCCGTTGCATGACTGCCTTCCGGGCTCAGACAGACACAAAAGGATATGTATAGAGACTAAGATGGGGGAAAAAAAAGAAAGGGGAAAGAGAGATGGAAAAGAGGATGTCACAGAAATAGCAAGTTCTTTAAACTTCCAAAGCAGAGCAGGAATGAATTGGGTGTGTGTCTCGCTTGAGAGGCGATGGAGCTTATGTGCGCGTGCACAGGTGCGTGTATATGTATGTTCACTAACTCTGTGTTACTGAAAACTTTATTCAAAGAATGCTCTGTGACAACGTTAGCTGCTAGGCCTATACCTCTGAGGAAGCACAACACATTCACTGCAGCTAACTTTAAGTTTGTGACACATTGAAACACATTATGCAGGTGAACACATGGCACCTTCTAGGGCTGCTCAATTAATCGTATTTTAATCGCGATTACGGCTTGCAACGATTACGAAAACCACGTAATCGAGATAAAACGATAATTTTTGTATTATTACTTTTTATTTTTTTTTTATAAATAATCTTTTTTTTTTTTTTTTTTAGTTGAATTATACTTAAAGCTCAGGGTAATCAACTGTTTAAAACATACTGTTCAACTTTTTTTTCTCCAATAAATGGATGATTTAAAAGTCAATGAATAATCACATTTAATAATCGCAATTACAATTATTGACCCAAATAATCGAGATTATGATTTTTGCCATAATCGAGCAGCCCTAGCACCTTCCTTTGAGAAGAAGTGTGTGTGTGTGTGTGTGTGTGTGTGTGTGTGTGTGTGTGTGTGTGTGTGTGTGTGTGTGTGTGGTCAGGACAGCGGTAGACAGCGTGTCACCATCAATAACACAGCAATGAGGGTGAGATGAGAGGACAGAGAAAAAGAACCAGGGAGGCATGGCAGGCAGAAACACACAGGCTGAGAAAGGAGAGGGGTGCCAGCGTCAGGGCGGCCCGCTGGCTTTAAATGGATCTCTGGTCAGAAAAGTGGAAGGAGAGGAGGCTCAAATTAAAGATGTGCCTTCTCTAAAGAGGAAGTCCTCTCATCCCTCAATGCTAAACGGCTGTTTAGAGGGGAGAGCAGTGTTTGTGCTAGAAAGGGTAAAAGAGCTTCCGCCATCCAGCCGCCCGGCAGACAGGAGGGGTGCAGGGATTCCGGTGTTTTCCGGACTGCCCAAACCACAAAATGCCACGTGCCGACTGAGTGTGCACCACATGCTGGATGAACAGAGACAAGGAACTCACTGTACACTAACATTTACCAACAGTTAATACAAGAGTACACATTAAAGTCAATGCACACTGAATACACTCTAATTGCCTATGCAAATATTCTTTTCATGTAAGCAGAGTATTTAAGAATTGTATGGGCTGTGATGTGGGTGGAGTGGCGCATGGAAAAGACTGACAAACAGAAGAGAATACACGCTTGCATGCGGATGCCTCTGGTCTCTAGTATAAAAAGACAGAGTGAGAGTTTGTGTACTCGTGGTGTGTGCGCAAGTGCATGCGAGCGCCCGCGCATCTGCGTCTGTGAGCTCATCCAAACGGAATGATAACGAATCCACAGACACATCAAAGGGGCTTGAAATAAAGAGGGAGCACATGTAAAAAGAGAGAAAATGCAAAACTGAAATATTCAGCGCCCTCTGAAGAAAAAAATAAAACAGGCATGGTTTTCATCCCCAGAAAAAGAGAGCTGAAAAATAAAGAGATACAGACACAGAATAAAAGACAGACCACAAATAAGTGAACACAACAGAGAGACGGCACAAGGGCAGAACATATTAAAGACGGAGAGAAAAAGAGTTTCAAAGAGTCGAAAATAGAATCATGGCTTGAAAACTGCAAACAAATGTGGCCTGTTTACAAACAGCATTTCACATCAAGATATGAAACAAAATGAGCACATAGAAAAGAAAGTGGTTTCATTATTATTATCCGCCACACATAGTAGCTTCAGTGCACAACAGTCATCTGTTTGAAGGGAATAGTTGCCTCACTAGTATTGCTACCAGCCTCTGTTAAAATAAAGCATGAACGCATTTCACAAGCTACCTTTTCAGGAGGTATACCAGTCTAAGAAGATTCAGAGCTGAAACAATTAATAATTGAGTTGGACGGAATATTAACAGGCAACTACTTTGATAATTTAATAACTATGCAATTTTTAGGCTATACTAAACTCATTTGCTTGCAACAGCTTCATTCTGGCTCCAAATAAGAATATATTCTGGATATTTGTCTTAGAGTTTGTACATGTTGTTCAGGCGAAACAAGACACATGAGGAGGCTATCTTCATATCTGGGTAACTGAGCTAGTAAGTATTTTCTAAATGAATAGTTAGCTTCATAGATTCACTTTAAAGAAAGGTCAAGAGTGGCGTTAGCCGCAGATCACTGGACGTTGAAAAGGGAATGGGCTTAGTGCTGAAGCGTTGCTGGACATGACAGATGGCATTTCAATTCATCTTTACAACGGACTACATGTGACTCATGCTCTCCCATCAACACTGGGGATGAAAGCAGTGACTTCCCCCTGCGCTGCTTGGTGTGTCAAAGCCAACTAAACCCCCCGAGGAGGAAGAGAGAGGGATGAAGAAGAATCTGGTGCAGCCCGGGCTGACAGTACCACTATGAGGGGGGATAAACATGTAGGTGTTAGGGAACAGAAACACAAACTACATGTCCGTCTCATACTTCAAAAATGGCTTTGGTGTTCAGTTAGTTTCACCACGCAACAACAATAACAACAACTACACAACTCATTCTTTACCAGAACACAAGAGAAGAAAGCTCAACCTTGACAAGACTGAACTGCTTTTCCTTCCGGGAAATTTTTTTCCCACTCTTGACCTAACAATCAACATCGGCACCTCTATTGTTTCCCCGACTCAGACTGCAAGGAATCTGGGTGTGACCCTAGATAACAAACTGTCCTTCACTGCAAACATTGCTGCTACAACCCGCTGCTGCAGATACACGCTTTACAACATCAGGAGGATACGTCCCCAGCTGACCCAGAAAGCGACGCAGGTTCTGGTCCAGGCTCTCGTCATCTCACGCCTAAACTACTGCAACTCCCTCCTGGCTGGTCTACCTGCAATGTTCCCACACCACGCCGCTCCTCCGCTCCCTTCACTGGCTTCCGGTAACTGCTAGAATCCACTTCAAGACACTGGTACTTGCGTACCATGCTGCGAATGGATCTGGCCCTTCCTACATCCAGGACATGGTTAAGCCGTACACCCCAGCACGTGCACTCCGCTCTGCATCGGCCAAACAGCTCGCTGCACCCGCACTGCGAGGGGGACCCAAGTTCCCATCAGCAAAAACACGTGGGTTTGCTATCCTGGCTCCAAAATGGTGGAATGAGCTCCCCATTGAAATCAGGAAAGCAGAAAGCTTGCACATCTTCCGGCGCAGACTGAAGAATCATCTCTTTCGACTCCACTTCGAGCGATAGAATTACTAACAAAGCACTTATATACTAATAAAGGACTGAGTTATCTAAATCCAGTTGAGCAGCACTTGAAACGTTTTAGCTCCATGACACCTGATGTACTTATATCATTCTTTTTTCTTCAAGGTTGTATCTTCCGGGTCGAATGCACTTATTGTAAGTCGCTTTGGATAAAAGTGTCAGCTAAATGCAATGTAATAAATAGACAAGAGAAAGAAGAGAACCGGAGAGAGAAATCTGACAGGGTTCGGAACCAGGGATTTCCTTCCCTTCACGCTGTGCATTTAGATGCTATTTAGCTTCAGCATGTATGCAGACTAAAGCATAATTACGGTAAAATCAGCCGGCATAAGTCCCTAAAGTAAACATACTGCATTTACATATCCCAGATATTATACATGGGAAAATAAGGTTCGCAAGATTCTTATTGGAACCACAAAGAGCCCCAAAAGAACAAATGCATCCAAATTGAGTTGTTTCAGTGCATGAATTAACTATAATCTCAATTCATACTGTCAATGCGTAATTTGGTTAGCTTGCTAGCTCAGTGTAACAGAGCAATTCCCCTTATGTGTGCTAATCACGTAGGCATGGTGAGGCATTTAACATCATTACACACCATGGTATGGGAGTTATGTCAACGATATCAATCAGTCCGCACATATTAAGAGATACGAAACACTACCGATGAACAGATATGGACAAATTAAGGAGCTGAATAACTTTAATTTGGGTTTTCTTTTTTCAGAGTAGAAACTGTCTGATTATCCGCTATAATCTTTTCAATTTGATTAATATTCAGCAAAGACTACGGCCTGTCCACACACACAGGCATGAAAAAAATCTTGATGCTGCGCGTGTCTGAAGTTTGGCGATTTTTTGCGAGCAACGTGAACCAAACAACCAATCACATGAATCTCCCGCCCCGAACATACAAAGCCAATAGCGAATTTTAAAACAAAGTAAACTGGATATAAATCCTCCCCAAACAGGCGAAAACCTACCAGTTTCATCGCACTGTGCTCTGCCACCTCACCTCTCCATGCCTGGTTTGCCTCCGGTTTGTATCCGGTAAAAGTTCTGGTCGTAAAAGAAGCGCGGGTGATTTGCTAGCCCGTAATTTGCTCATTTGGAATATGAGGGAAAATTAACTGCGGTCTGGCTCTCCACTCAAGCTGCACGCGGTTTGATTGGCTAGCGCTTGCAACTGGCGGATTTGCATAAACGGGGATTCTGATTGGCTGATGCGCAGCTTTCCGAAAGCATCGGGAGCATCAAGAAGTTGAACATATGCTGCAACTTTATGGATGCTCACCAATGCGCTTGGGCAAAAGCCATGCGCTCCGCTCCCCACAACTGCAATTCGGCGAAAGATTCAAAAATCCTTCTACGTCACCCGAAAAAAAAAAAAAACATTCAAGTGAAATGGGCGAAGCTTTGAAAGATTTTTTTCATGACTGTGTGTGGACGGGGCCCGTAACGGTACGTCCCAACAGCCAGCTTAAATAAAAATCCTTCACAACGCCTTCTCCTGCCCCATTGACTTTGAAATGGAAGTGGATGTCCACCTTTTGCCTCGCTTTTCGCCGACGAACTGCATTGTGGGGGAAGCAAAGCGACAGACTTCCCAGGATTTTTCAGGATCAAAAGTTGAGCAATGTTCAACTTTTGAAGCTGAGCGCTGGAAAGTTGTCAGCCCAACTCAAGATCCCGTTTATGCACAAATCTGAACAGCTGAAACAAGAGCGTAAGCCAATGAAACCGCGGTGCAAGCTGGGAGAGGCCCAGACCGCAGTTCATTTTCCTGCCATATTCCCAAACGAGAAAATTACCCGGTAGCAAATCGACCCGGTTCTGTTTACGAACCAGAACTATTCTACCGGGATACAAAACCGGAAGGAACGCAGCATGGAGGGGAGGTGGCGACCAGAGACCCACGTGGGGTGAAACTGGTAGGTTTTCGTCTTGTTGGGGGAGTTTATATCCCAGTTTGATTTCCGTTTACACATTGCTATTGCTTTGTGGTATGTCGGCGGGGCGGGAGAATTCCAATGTGATTTGGTTGTTGGTCGCGTTGCCCGCAAAAAAAATCCCCAAGCTTTCAGACACCCGGCCACACGCTTCCAAAGATTTTCAAGATTTTGTTCAAAGCTGCTGTGTGGACACGAGGCGTAAGACTTCTTACACACATCCTGCTTGATAGCAAAAGTGGTAGTTTACCCTTACCACCCCGAGTAACCTAATACAGCCGCCATAAACTAAGAATAGAACCACTTTTATGTGCTTCCATGAGAATATGTATCTCTGCCCAGTTCGTTTGGATGTTATCTTTCAGCAGAATTATGGAGTAACTAACCTAACACTGAAACAAAAATAATAGATGCAACACTTTTGTTTTTGCTCCCTTTTTTCAATGAGATGAACTCAGATCTAAAAACATTTTCTTATATACAGCAAAATAACATTTCTCTCAATATTGTCACAAATCTGAAAAAATCTGTGATAGTGAGCACTTCCGCCTTTGCCGAGATAATCCAGATCCCACCTCACAGGTGTGGCATATCAAGATGCTGATTAGACAAGCATGATATTGCACAGGTGTGCCTTAAGGCTGCCACAATAAAGGCCACTCTGAAACGTGCAGTTTTGCTTAATTGGGGGGTCTGGGGGGGTCCGAAAACCCTAGGGTTAAACCCTAACCCTAACATGCCCACCCATTGAGCATGTTTGGGATGCTCTGGATCGGCGTATACGACAGCGTGTTCCAGTTCCTGCCAATATCCAGCAACTTCGCACAGCCATTGAAGAGGAGTGGACCAACATTCCACAGGCCACAATCAACAACCTGATCAACTCTATGCGAAGGATATGGGTGACATGTTAGGGTTAGGGTTTAACCCTAGGGTTTTCGGACCCCCCCAATAAAGCAGAACTGCACGTTCCAGAGTGATCTTTTATTGTGGCCACCCTAAGGCACACCTGTGCAATAATCATGCTGTCTAATCAGCATCTTGATATGCCACACCTGTGAGGTGGGATGGATTATCTCGGCAAAGGAGAAGGGCTCACTATCACAGATTTTTTCAGATTTGTGAACAATATTTGAGAGAAATGGTTATTTTGTGTATATAGAATATGTTTTAGATCTTTGAGTTCATCTCATGAAAAATGGGAGCAAAAACAAAAGTGTTGCATTTATATTTTTGTTCAGTGTACATGGCCTGGTTTAACGAATAAAAAGACATATGTTCTTTATAGCGTCCATGTTGTTTCCACATTTCAACCTAAAGCTTATAAACACACCGAAGAACAACTTCCTGACTCAGTCAATTGGACCATCAGAGGAGAAAGTGAATTGACAGTTGGCCTTAGCTAGTGTCTACGTTGTCTAAAGTGATCCTAGTTTATGCTATCTACGTTTTTTCAGTTTGTTTTATTATTTAGTGGGGTTCATTTAACTAAACCTACACTGAAAAATCTGAAATGTTGACTTTAATTAAATGTATTATGTCAACAATTTTCACACAACTGTATTAGGTTAGTTGAAATCAATAATATTAGTTTTTTTATTTCAACTTAATATTATTGCTTTCAACTGACCTAATACAGTAATGTGAAATCTGTTGACATGATACATTTAATTAAAGTCAACATTTCAGTTTTTTCAGTGTAAGACCTGAATGGATATAAAAGAAGCAAGAGTATGTGAAGATGTAAGCGTGCTTTAACTTTGCGACCTTAGCTGTAGGACCTAGTTAAACAGCTCTTTACAATGTTCCTTCTGTCAGGTCTATGTTATTGAACTGGCGCTTAACCCATCTCCATCCTGCTCCTTCAATGCAGTTGTCATGGGAGTAAATATTGAACCCTGGTGAAGCTATTCAATATTCAGGATCCATAACTCCACCTGCTCCTGAATCTCAATGCTAACTGGGGCTACCTCATGTGCCTCTCTGGACCACCAACACCTCCACTCCCCTCCATCCCTCCTCTCATGGGAGAGGAATGCTGCGATAGATAAGACCACTTCAAAGACACACACAGACGTAGGGTTTGCATGTGCACCCACACACACACAAAATAACATGAAAGACCATAATGGATGCATCCTACACTTTTAAGAGGAGAAGGGGCCCTATCTCACGCTAGCATGTGGGCATGCATGCACAACCACTAAGAAAGAAACAATGACACAAAGACTGACACCAAACACTTCATTAATACCCTATCAAAAGAATTGTGGTGGGCTGTGCATATACAACAGCAAAAAAGGAAATTGAAACAATGGTAGAAAAGTAAGAAACTTGAAATACGGGATGAACAGGATTATGACTAAAGGAAAGAGTTGGTGTGAATTCTACACACTATAACACATCCCATCCATGACAGGGGTGGGGGGGGGTGGTGTGCACAGGTTTTGGACAGCCAGTGTGTAGCCTCTCATAAAGGCGAGCTTTTCCCTGCCGCTGCCTGAAGAACACGCTGCCTCTGCTTCTCCAAACTGTAAACGATCAAACTGAGCAGAAGTTGCTGCTGAGACACAGTCAGCGCTGCTACAACCACCACACCTCAGCAGGCACATGGTTTTGATAAAGCCAGTTGGGTGCCAAGCAGCAGGAAGGAGGAGGACTGGAAAGGTATGATGGAGAGAAAAAAAAACGTGACAGCCTTTGCATGGAGAGAGAGATATTGTAATCTAGAAATAAACCAGCTGTTTTTCTTTTCTTCTTTAATCATTCAGTTGATTTTCTGACATTTTTTAATTGTAAATTGGAGGTCACTGTGGCAAAAGCAGGCAAGCTGCTGCCTCTCACTCTCCACCCCCCCTCCCCTCTGTGGTGCTGCATCTCTCCATCGCTATGCTAATGCCCTGTAATGATCTGAGGCACGTTGGGATGAAAGAAGAGCAGAGAAACGTGTTCTCTGCACAGCTTTTTAGTGCATTTCTGTTGTTGTTGCTATAGTAACACAGACCTGGAACTCAATTTGATGCATTTGTATGGCAGCAAAGGGTGATTCTTCTTTTTATACTGGAAACAAAGAATGGGTGTAAACCTTGGAAAAAAGGGTGTGGAAAGCATGCTAAACATGCAACATACAATAACAAAAACAGAACAGCAAAATCCGCTTCAGCTATTGAAGAAATAAAAACTAAATACACATACAAAATGTTATTAATTGATATAAGCTGATATACTTTCAACAGTAGATTGACAAACACATAACAACCCAGCGCACATACCAGTCAGTGTCTTGTACATAGAGGGCATGCTGAGCAGTTCTACTATTTTGATTTCATCATCCACACACACACACACACACACACACACACACACACACACACACACACACACACACACACACAGTCTTGCTTTGACTTTGAAGTTCTCCTGGATCGCCTTTAAAGGCCTTCAGTGTTGCCACGACAGCAGGCAGGTAGACTTCTGACTGCTTATTGTGTGTGTGTGTGTGTGTGTGTGTGTGTGTGTGTGTGTGTGTGTGTGTGTGTGTGTGTGTGTGTGTGTGTGTGTGTGTGTGTGTGTGTGTGTGTGTGTGTGTGTGTGTGTGTGTACTTAATTAGCCAAGAGCCCGATGGGCCACTTGCCGTTTCTCAGTGTTTAACACTAAACGAGGGAATGACTGGCTCCTTACTGATACTAACAACAAGGATAATTTATGCACAAACGGATCCGTCTGCTGTGTTTAAGCGTGTCCTCTGTTGCCAGGCTGACAATGACAGGCGCAAACAATAAGCAGACACAACCATCAATGTCCCCCTGCGATCTTAACACTGAATACTAACTGCACAATTACTTTTCATGTTGTTTCGCAGTGACAGAAACACAAAGGAACGGTAATAATAACCATGTCCTACAGCTTAATACATTTCTTATTCACAAACTATTTATTGTTGCTTTTAGTGGCCACTTAAAACGTGTTTGGAAAAGACATAATGTGTCTTGGGCTATTGATAAGGACCCGAGAAAAGAGCAAATACAGCCGTGCTCATCCACTGCCTTTGGGTTGCTACTTCATTGTGACAAACAGTTGAGAAACTCTCCATGGGGGGGATGGCACTGTGACTGGCCTTGGCTGTGTATGGCTGCAGCTGAGGTTGTTGAATGGGAATTGTGTTTAATTGTGCAGAACATATTCTAGTTTCGCCAGGGAAACTGTAAGCTGCTTGTGACCAAGTAATATGGTCCAGTATGGGATTAAGTGCCGAGTGGAATGTACTGACTGGCTGACTTGAGTCCTTGGAAGGGCTGACAGCAAAGTGTGCTTGTGCAGCTCTCGAGTAAAAAGGGAGTAACAGAGGTAGAAAGTGATAGGAGAAACTGAAGTACATCTCCAATTTTAGGGCGGTTAAAGTAAAAAATGATGCTAAATGATCGTCATCTGAAGCATTACTTAAGACTCATTCATTTAGTCATCATTTCCATTTCTGTGTAATGATTTTGTAATATTTCAGCAGGGGCTTAAAAAAACATCTGGAAGCACAACAACATTGCACATTTTGGCACGTTACTACAGGAGAAGCACAGGTGTGATTAATCACGTTAATTAATCATGGCAGCAATGCATTCTGGTGAGCCAGCCTCAGGGTCCTGGTAATGAGTGTCATTAGAAACACCTCTGTTTTTCTGTTATGGCAAGTCAATGCTTTTTCTGTATTGAAAAATCTAAACAAAGTGCTGAAAGGCACTAAACCCGTTTGAACTGAGGGAACGTGCAGAGTTGGATGATGATTGTCAGAATGTATTGCAATAAGAGCAATCCCTTTATCATTGCACATATACAAATATTAGGATTCATCTGGTATTTTCCTACAGTATATGGTAGTTTATTTGTGTAGAGGCCGCTTCATTTCTACAGCAGGATTACGCTTTCTAGTTTTCTTCAAGACAAGATAACTACTCATCACATGTGAAGATCTGATGTTCCAGGCTCTCGACTCTACCGGTACTACGTAGTTATAAAAAAGATCAAAGAGAGTGTGGCTTGTTAAAGTCAAACTCCACCTTCAATCTAAATTCATACACACTGTTCTCATGATCAAAGACTCATCTCAGTACGCATAAACAACTCTCTAACAAAGTTTGAAGCCACAAAGTCAAAGCTCAAATGTGAGATACTAATAACTAAATATTCCACTTGCGTTATGTAAATTGCAAATATAATGACCAAAGGGGGGAAATTGCCGGTACTCACAGTAATAAACCCTGGGGGCAAGCATAGGGTTTTGATGATATTCTCAGATTATTATTGGGTTTTTGCACACACAACCATCGTGGCATCTCACTGTCTGTATTCAGAACTATTATATCTGAAAGATTCAGCTCACAACTGTACACATCTGCAAAACACACACACAGAGACTGGCTGATAGACTGATGCAGTGCCTTAGACCATCATGACACTTGGCAAAGAATGAAAGAGGACCACACACAAACACACAGATGGTTTTAGAGCTCTATAATGTGATCACTGTGTCAATTCTAAGGGAACTGATCACATATACAGGGCTGTGTCTGCTGTTTGCTTTATCTATGGTATGAAAACATGAGGATGAGGTTTAGCACAGGAAAAACAACATTTTGGATACTTACCATGTTATCAGAAATGAATTAAAGGTCCCCTATTATACTGTTTCTCATCAATATATTATAGGTCTCAGTTGTTGTAGCAATTTATCATTAAGTCTCATTTAATCATAAGTATTACTGTAACTTAATTATCTGTTTATTTCCCACAGATTGAATTCACATTTAGCCTCCAATTTAATCTTACTTAGAACAAACCAAAGTCTGTCTCTACAACCATTGGTTTGTAATTAACATGTATGTAAAGTTTCAACCGTGTGGTCACCACTTCTTGTCATGTAAATTTGCTTGCTGAAGACCTTCCCCTTCCCTCCTTCTGTAGTGTAAAGTATTTGCATTTTCTTTGAATGAGGTCAGATCTTGTACTAACTTCTTGGTGCAAGACTCTGTCCTTTCAGCTGAAATAGATTAACTCTGTTAAATGCTTTTTGACTTTATTAAATAACACAACTTTGCTTTAAACTTCTATTGTTTGTTCGTGTCTTGCCAACCAGGTTGTTTCTGTTTTTAAAGTGGAACTTCCTCCACATCAGTTATATACAAACATGTCTCTGAAGTGTTTGGCTGAAATACCAAACAGATTATGTATTGCAGCATCCCATAATCCCCTCTGTTTCAGCCCTGTTTCAAAAGTGCTGGTTCTCTGTCTTTTACTTTAGATGAAAATAAGGAGCCCCTCCCCACGCCCCTCTGAGAGATATTTGGTTGAAAAGAACAAAATTGAGCTCTCGGAGGAGATTCAGGTGATAAGGGGGGGGGGGTTACCTTGGTTGGTGGTTGGCTAATGGTTACACAAGCCAAAAAATCGTTATGACATCATAAAGTGGGCAACATCTGATCAGCTCATTTTCAGATTTTTTTCCTGAAACTTTCAGAATCTCTTTGCACAGAGGGGACACATGTTTATGTATAAAAGACATGGAAAAGTGGATTTTGCATAATAGGTGACCTTTAAACATTTTGCTGATAGATTCAGATCAAACACTATTACATGTTGTACTTTGGGTAAAGCTCAAATGCTCACTGTACCTGAGTGCATCTTCTAGTTTGGATATTTTCCTCTTAGCCTCTACTCTCTCTTTCTCTGCTTCAGTTTGGATTGCCAAAACCTGAGGGAGAGAGAGTAAATGCAAGAGAGAGAGAGAGAGAGAGAGAGGTGTAAGTGAGTGCAAAAGCAGACGCCATCAAACATCAATCGACAAAACTCTCCTGCATGTGACCTTGTGCATCTGGCCTCGTCTCTTCTCTCCATCACCCCATCAAAAGAACCATCTGACTATCTGCCTGCATAGAGGGCCTCTCACTGTGGATCTGTGGCAGCCATATGGACCCTTCTTATGTCCAGATACCGTTCCCTGGCCTCCTCCACATGTCTCATTTACTACTGCAGAGGAGTGGAAAAATAAATCTTTCCAGGGGCAAAAGGAAAAAGAACTGACTCCTCTTTCTTTTTGTTTACATCTACTGTCACCGTCCAGAGGGAAGAAAGTAGAAAAAAAAAAAGATATAGACTTGTTACAAGGACAGGATAAAAAAACAGACTGTATTTGAGGAAAACATCAAAAGCAAAACTTTTGACTTTCTTTCCGAGAAACTTAATTTAAATTCTCCCTGACCCTGAATGGAGTGCACAGAGGCCTGCTAAGTTCTTGCAGGTGTATCAGCCAGAGGGGCCCTGTCTCTGGGTATGCCAGCCTGCCACAAGCACACACATTATAACTCTGGCACTTTGAAGATGACCCAGGTGCAGCAGGTCTTTAAAACCCGACTTTCACCTATGAAGTCTGGCTTGGACCGGTCCAGCTCAGATCATTAACAATGGTCTCTTCACTCTATGGTTTACAGCTGCTCTGTGGCTTTGAAGAAAAGTCTCAAAAGTAAAAAGGCAATTAAGTTAAGGCCCGGGCAAACTGACAGTACTATCTTCACACAGAAAAGTGGAGCTTGTGAAGGTCCTCTTTTGCCGAATGACTACAAGTTTATAAGGATTTGCTCATACTGCCTTTGCTTAGATAACTCTAATGCTAAATTATACATTTTCCATCATCCTCTTTCTTCTCTGCCCAGTCCTTCATCTACCTGTTAATCACGGCTCTGATTTTACGAGACCAGACATAAGATCTAAAAGTAAGGGGAACCACAAAGGAACATGTGACACCGGGCTTTGATCTCCACTTGACCGTAATAACTTTGTCCAGGGCTGTTTTAATGCAACGACAAAAGCTATGGAGCTCAGTGGATGGGTTTCCCTGGAGAACAAGCTACCTTTTTCTCACAGTTGATCTGCACTTCATCTTTTTCCCGCTGAAACTCCGTCTCTTGATCCTGAAAAAGAAGCAATAGTTGAAACGATGCTGTGTGGCAAAGGATAACTGCATCACTTCACACAAAGGCAAGCCCTGTGTAACCCGAAGCATTGTCGTAGCTTGTACTGCTCGTGTGCAAATGCAAATGTATTTTTAGGCAGGTGCACATTAAAAACATTTGAACAAGCCTGCCAACACCCAAATCCTACCCTGGCTTGTTGGAGTCTTCGGTGTTCACTGTCCAGGAGCTGCTGTTTGAGTAGAGCTACAGTGTTCTCAAAGTCGTCCATCAACTCAGAGGCCTGGACGACAGAAACAGAGAGGAAATTAGCAGTAAATGAGGGTGAATTTAGAACAATTATGTCTACATTTAGGAGGCTTGTGGAGGTGTTTGGGTGAATGTGGACCTTGGCAGCAGACAGAGCATGTTCCTGATGCAAGTGGCGCATGTCAGTCTCATTTTTGGTTTGGAACTTCTGTACAGTTAGCTCATGCTGCTCCCTCTGCTGCTCCTTCTCCTTCAGCAAAATCAAATTCCTGTGTTACAGTTAAAGAGCATGACTATTAACAAGTACAAATAAAAAAATACACTTTACCACCCTGTTACTTTAGTCTTATATGGCATATTTAAACGTTTTCTTGCCACTTTACAGGCATCTTGATAGTAACATGTTATTTGTTAAGCAGACATTTATTAATAATTTGTACATTTTCATGACCTAGTTTATAGACATAGTTTTGAATAGCATCCTCTTTTAAAGGTCACCTATTATGCAAAATCCACTTTGTCATTTTTTCCCAGTTTCCCCTCTGTGTAAAGAGATTCTGAAAGTTTCAGTAAAAAAGATTCACTCCCTTCTTGTCCTGATCCATTTAAATAAAAACCTGTCTGAAAATGAGCTGATCAGATGTGGCCCACTTTGTGATGTCATAACGTTTTTTTGGCTTGTGTAACCATTAGCCAATCACCAACCAAGGTAACTGCCACCCTCCTTATCACCTGAATCCCCTCCTAGAGCACCATTGTGTTTTCTTTTCGAATCAGAATCTTTGAAACAGGGCTGAAACAGAGGGGTTTATGGGATGCTTGGGATCTGTTTGGTATTTGGAGCCAAACACTTCAGAGACATGTTTTGTATATATCTGAGACCTATAATATATAGATGAAAAACAGTATAATAGGGGACCTTTAACCATTAGACATCTCTACCCCCTTCATCATTCATTTTTTCACAAACCGTCTGTTGGCCTCCTGCAGTTCGGCGCCCATGGATGCAATTTGAATCTCCAACTGGGCCTTCTCCTGTGTCACCCTCTGACGCAGCGCACTGCCCTTCTCCACCTCCACCGACTGCTGTTTCACCCGCAGCTCCAGCTCACGCACCGTTTGCTCCTGAACAACAAGCGTACACAGGAATCACTCACCCAAACAGCTTGAATCACTGAGGGCACTAGCCTGAGAAAATGTCATGGGTCAGAGGACTGCATGGCCCCAGAGTGGAGCCAAACAGAAATCGGCTGATAGGGAAGAATGTGGCTGTCCACCTCTGTGACTTCAGCCTTGATTGTTCAACATACTCATTTTATATATCCTTATTTGAAGTTCAAAGCTGTACTCAAGCTAACGTTGGACTTAAAATAGACCGTTCTGCACTGTTATTCTCCAAAGCTCTCAGCTCAGAGTCATCAAAAACAAAAACATCTTATCTATACAAACTGTTCCAAAGGTCGAAACCAGCAGAAAGCCTTTCGCAGGGAGCGATCTTATCAAGTGAAAATATTTCTTCCAGTCTACAAAGGCTTAACTGCAGACATTTTTGAGGTCAACTGTAGTGCCTTTTGAAAATATAGAGCTGCAACACCAAGCTAATATTTCACCTGTCAATGTGCCTGTATATTCATCATATTAATATATTCAAACTATAATTAATCAACTGCTTCTGGCTTCTTCTGGTGCAGTGGAGAAATGTTTTGATTTGGCAGGTCCCTGTGCTGCTTGTATCTCTGCTCTTTATAACTTAAAATATTCACAGTCAGGAATGAGCTTCAACGCAATTTAAAACTCGTAATGTAACAAACAAACTCAGTTTATCTTTGTGTTTTCAAACAGAAAACTGAGCAATCTTACTAATCCTACGTGTTCAAGCTGAAATATTATTGGCAAATGTAAAAAGCTTAATCAAAATGTAGATTTTCAATAAAGACAATGATCAAAGTGCAGCCGATGCAGGCAGCTTTTTCTGGCACCGATCTGATGAAAAGAAACGTCCCCTTCTTACATAGTGTCCCCCAGCTTGTGCACATGTATGAGTGTGTGTGTGTGTGTGTGTGTGTGTGTGTGTGTGTGTGTGTGTGTGTGTGTGCTAGTGACAGTGTGGAATGCAGTGTGGGCCGGCGGATAAAGGCGATGACGGGACGCTGATTAAAGATGGAGCGTGCTAGTCAATCTAGACGATGACAGGAGGGGAGAGGAGGGAGCCGTGTGTTTGAACAGAGGGCAGGAGCACCGCCCGGAGAAGCCGCTTGGACAGATTTGTGTCTTTGTGTTCGTAGCGTAGCGCGCTAAGAAAAGGAACAAGGGGCCTGTGTTGTGCTGGGACGCGTGCTGACACTTAGAGAGGTGCTTCTTCTCATCTCCTGCCAGAGAGGCTGCACCGGGCACACCTGGACACACTCAGAGGGAGCACATTACGTCCCATAATTAGGTGTTTCAGAAAGGGAATTACAAGGTGTGAAGAGCAGACTACACAAGCTACGTTATGAGTTCTGCTCCCCTCCAGAGATTAAGATGTGATAAAGTCTTTGAAGATGGGATAAAAACCTGTAATTTGTACCGAAAAAAATTCATACAGAGTGATGGATGACCTTTTTACAGTTTTTGTATCACAACTGAGGCCAGCAGATGGGAGACAGCCTGCATCAATCATGTCCTGCGGCCAGTCAGGCTGTGTGTGTGTGAATGCACGTTGTCAAACCCTTGTGTAGGAGGGAGAGCAGCTGGGGGAGGGTCTGACAGAAGAAAGGGAATCAGGTACACTGTGGACTTGTGGAACCGGGGTCAAACAAATACTGCAAGTTTGTTTACCCCTGCTTCAGGAATATTACTGTGGATGCACAGATAGGTTTTTCTTTAAGGCTCATACCCCACTAAGGCATTATGGACCTAAAAGGGCTATTTTGGATTGCTTGAAGTGGGGTTGCATGAGATCGGGTTGGGCGATATGAAGAAAATCACAATATCTTTGACCAAATATCTCAATTTCAATGTTGTGAAGATGTTTGGAAGGTTGATCATCGGTGCTTTCACACAATATGTAACCATTAGGAATGTGGATAAATAATTATTTGTATAAGGTTTTGCAAGTGAGATTGGGAAAAAAGTAGAACAACTGGAAACAATATGGTAAGTTCAGGAAATAACATCTCTACACTGTTATGCAGCCTTAGTTTAAAAGCAGGAAAGACATAAGTGTATGCTATATTTACAATATTTTCACAATTTACCAACTTTTTTGGCGGTGGCTGAACATACGTTTTGCTGCCACCCCATCATTACACAGAACTATAGTAACTACAGCCTCCCAGTACATATCCGGACTGCTGAGTCTATTGAACTTTTTAAATCTCAGCTAAAACCCCACCTCTTTGCACTTGCTTTTAATACTAGTTGAACATTACACTTTTACATTTGTATATGTTTTTATATGTTTCTAGTTATTGTGCTTTTTATCATGTTTTTAATTATTATTGAATTATTGTACTCCCATTGTGTTATTTTATATTGTATTTATTGCCTGTACAGCACTTTGGTCAACTGAGGTTGTTTTAAATGTGCTATATAAATAAATAAAGATTGATTGAGATTTAGGCGGGAATCCTATCTGCTTCACCAAACTGGGGCTAGGCCACCTACCATATACTGTATAGGAAATACACTGACTCTGGATAAGTATGTCTATACACTAAAACAAATTAATTCAAATCTGGAACAAATGTTAAAGTAATGTCAAACACACTCAGAGCAACAGAAGATAACATATCAGCAGTACAAAGAAAGGGATATTCCTACCAGTTGGTCTCTATCTCCAATATTAATCATTTGTACATGGGCTACAGTCAGAGTGTGTATGGAGCAATACCGAAGCAGATACCGGCTTGTCTCTCTTTTCAAACACCCACTCAATCACTTTGTCGGCTCTGCCCTGTGCATAGATAACGTCCAAAAATAATAACATCTGACATATTCGTAAGCACCATGAAACGTCTTTGATCTGCGTTGGATAGAAATCCGACGCAGGTAGCGCCTGGCAGATGGACATTCCTCATTTTGCTGTAATTAAACCAGATCCAGTACGCAGTTTTTGAATGAGCATGAATCATCAATCTGAGTTTGTCTTGGCCTGCATACTTTACTTTATGTGAACTTTTCACTTTGTGTCCGGGGTTTGAACTGAAGAAGAGGAGTCGCAGTGGCTTAAAACAAATGGGCATACTGTGGAGCAGGGGTGTCAAACTGAAATACACAGTGGGCCAAAATAAAACAATGGGTACTAGTCGAGGGCCGGACTGGTTCAATGTTTATTGCAAAACTTATTGAAATGAACTTATTGCAAATATTAAAGTTGGAACTAACAAAGCTTAAATTATTGCCGATAGGGTTAGGGCTAGTTGCATTCATTTCTTATGGCTCTATCTGCAGCTTTTCCGGAGTCATTTCTTATGATTATATTTTTCCACAGGCTAACAACAGCTTCAAAAAAACTATTTCCCTCAAAGAAAAAACCTTTTGTCGCAAGAGAAAACGTGCAGAAGGAAACATCCATGTAAACTCAGTGTGCTGCTCTGTGATGCTAGTTCAGATACTTGGCATCTCATCTTCGGTAAGTTCATCAACGTTTGGGGTCAGGCTCTGAGCTGAGGAAACCCTCAGGATGGAGTGAAGGTGTGCGTGCAATATACCGGCGGGCCAGATCTAATNTCATTTCATTTGTATTTGTTCCGTTCATGGTATGCACAACTTAAAGTGGACCTATCATGCTATATTTGAATAATATAGTGTAGGACCATACCTATATAACTTATATAGGTATGGTCCTACACTATATTATTCAAATATAGCATGATAGGTCCACTTTAAGTTGTGCATACCATGAACGGAACAAATACAAATGAAATGAACGTTTAATGCCAGGTACGTTTACACATACAAGGAATTTGCTTTGGTATCTGGTAGTGCAAAGATAAATAATCAAAAACAAAAAGTTTCAAAAGTTGGTAAAAAAATCCCATATTTTTAAGAGACAATTTAGCATTAAAAAAAGGATACAAATGTCTTGATATATACATTTGTGTGTGTTGGTTTGAAGGGAGATGGAGAGCCAGCTGGAGAGAGCGAGAGAGAGCCAGAGGACGCAGATCCAGCAGGCAGACATGGCGCTGGAGCAGTTCAAGAAACAGGTGGAACTCAGCTCTGAGAAGACCTACGCTGGCATGAAGCTCCAGGTGTGACACACACACACACACACACACACACACACACACACACACACACACACACACACACACACACACACACACACACACACAATACACACACAGAAAAGTGTAACATCAACATTAAATGCACACAATGTATAGTCGCCTACACATAGCTCTATCAATGCACATCTGTTACATGTACAGAATGCACATACACCCAGTCAGCCTTATTACCCATTAGTACATGGTTTTTCTGCTGTGTGCCAAATACAGATGTTCATTTACCCTCCTCTCTTTTATGTCTGCTTTAACACGAGGAGAGTAAAACTGTTTGACAGGCAGTAACCAAGACAATACACACACAAACACACACACTTTTTTTGTAGTAGAGACACAGCCTGACCACAGATGCAACAGGGCGCCACGCTGACTGCGTTTGAATTTCCTCCGTATGTCTCCCTCCCCTTCACATTCGCCTTCAACTGCTCTCATACTGAAAAAACACACACAAATGTCTTGAGCCCTGTCATCCCCGGGCAGTTTTCACTCATTTCAGTCAGCCAACATGAATGACATGATTTATAATCCTGCTCATTATGCAGGTGCATTCATTCGCACGTTGACCTTGCTTCCTCTCAGCGGGCGTGGCGTGGGATGGTTGTGTTTTTTTAATGGAGGACGGGTCGCCCGCACTCAGCGGACTAATTAGTACGTCAGGCCAGCATCGCGATCAGCGCTCCACACCGCGTGGGCTGCTGCTTGTTGGGAGAGTTCTCCAATCGATACACACTCCTTCTGATGATGTCTTACAAGACAGTTTGGCTATAGGCGTTTTTGTTGAGCATTCTTTGGCTATACTGTGTGAGTGCTGTATTGACGGGGCAGCACTGAGTGTGGTCCTAGGTTGCTGATTAGCACATTTGAGTTGCTGATTAGTGAAGTTTTCAGCAAATCCATATGTTGTAGTTTTAAAAAAAACGCTTCGTGTGGGAGTGGAATGAATGCATGGATGTTTGTAGGCGCACAGAGCAACCTTCATTCCCCTCCAGAGTGAATTTAAAATGTCTGTCATATTGAGCAGGAATGAATTGTGCTGCAGATGGAAGAGAAGACAAACGGTAAACTTTAATTAGGGTCAAAAGAGCCCTCGATGCTCCAGAAGTCTGTATTTTCCCACTTCTTCTTTTCTCCTGTTCTCACCCTTCCATCTCATGCTTGTTCCCTCTTTTCCCATGGAGCCCCTGGCATCCCGATTTCCGATCTGACTTTATCCTCAGCCCACATCAAAGCCAAGAGAGGAGCAGTTTCTTATGTATCTCTGTCAACCTCTCCCAGACCCACTTGTGCAACGCTCCATCACGTTCTCCTGCAAAGGCTTTAATGTCGTACAAGTTTTTCACTCTTTCTCTTCATCCTTCCATCTTTCCTCTCATTACCTTCTCTCTCTCTCTATCTAAATGGATTATCACTATCACTTTCTTTCTCTCGTTTTAAAATCAGCATCCCACTTTAAGACTGCCCTGTTTTGGTTTTGGTGTGAAAAAGAAGCAGCACCCAGAACCAAATCTCTGTTGCGTGAGTCGTTCAAAGGAGGCTCCAGCATTTAAAATGGATTAATCAAAACACATTTCGCATTTCCAGAGCGTTACACACACAGCACAGCCCAGATACAGAGGCGTTTCAGTCAATTACATTTCCAATTGTTTCGATTATCGTCACCTGAACAGAAAAATATGAAACGGGTAGGCTGCAAGCACGTTGAGTTAAGATAAAAAGAGTAAATATTGTCACATTTTCTACACGAACACACTTTCTCAGAAGAAAAATATATTTTTTTTAACTGCTGTTTTTCTTATATTTGAGTTTTGCATTTATGTTGCACCTCTGAATATATATGTGATTTTGTGTGTGATCTACTGGAATTCCATATTTAATGTTAATTATAATGTCGTACTTTGATGAATAGGTTAATAAATTGATGTGCTGTTTTAAAGATATGACTACGATACGATCACACGTCATGTGATGAATATATTTCACCCAACAGAAGCTCATTCATTTCAAATTAAAAGAAAAATGTTAGAGTAGCTGCAGATGCATGGTGTTTTAGCTAGTTTTTTATATATTATACTTATGCTGTGTTTATATGTGAACTACAACTAATGGAAAAAATTAGCTACAGTAAAATTGTATCCACTATTCTGAAATATGAGGCATTGAGTTGCATGATGTATTTTCTAGCTCAACATAAATGTATTCCAGATTATAAATGCAGCCTTAATGGTTCAAACGTGATTTATTTTCATTTTCAATCTTTTTTTCTATTTCATGGCTCCAGATGGACAAGGTAGAAGAGGACCTGATCCGCTCCAAGTCCCTCAGAGAGAACCAGTCCAAAGAGTTCTCCCAACAACTCGATGCACTCAGACAGAAGTATGAGCAGCAGGTCTGTATGAGTCTGTCACTTGGTGTCATCTGCCTGCAGTGTGTTTGTCTACATGTGTCTGCACGTGCGAGACGTTTTCTAGCGTCTCTGCTCATGATGAAGCCAGGGGAAAGAATTCTCCTCTCGCTTCTTGTCGTCATCACATTGTTATTTTCTTTCTTTTATTGTTAACACTTGGGCATCTGGAGCCAACCGAGGGGATTGACATCCATTTAGAATACTCTTGTTATCCCTCCCCATCTGCTCCACCTGATTAATTTCTCATGATAGGAGACACGCTTTAGATTAAGACCGGATTGCGACTCAATAAATATCTTAAACGTTGCCAATTGAAAACGTATGCAATCTGCATAACAGACGCCGCTTCCCTTATCAGCGCATCTCTGTCACTCTTCTTCGATTAGGAGAAAGAAACCCTTTTCACAACTCATTGAAATCCAGCTTACTGATAGGAGGACATCGCTTAGTGCATCAGATTCCATTAAACCATATTATCAAGGCATCCCGTCTTATTGTAGGCAGCAGAGAGCATGGTTTATATTTCTCCTACTTCCATTTCACTTTAAGCTCTCCGGCCTGCTAGTGGGATTTTGATCTCTGGCTGTAGACTTTAAAAATCCAACTGAATATGTTTGCCATAAGATATTTGTACTTTATTTGTAGATATTTGTACTCATACTCTTTTGTGTTTCTTTCTTTGTGTAACCTGTGTAACTATAGTTGAGTAATGCACAAATACATGTTTTTTACTCATTTAAAGGACAATAGTATATACAGAATCTGTCTCAAAGTGGCTTTACAATCTGGGATTCTTCACACAATTATAATGGGTAACACACCAGGCAAATCATTGTATAGTTATTTTAAGCATACTCGGGCCACCCTGCATAGCAACTGATTGCACCATTTGATAGGAGGTGCATATATCCCAAGTTTGAGCATCAATAATAATTTAAATGAAGAATGATGAAGAGGCTATACGGCATTAATATGGTGTAGCATCTCTATTTCCAATCTGTATTCACATCATGATTGACTCCCAGCCACCAAACTCGCTCTCAACCTGTCTGATAATAAGCATGCTAACTCTCATTTCCAGGCCAGATGAAGTTTACACTGTGTCTAATGTGCTGGAGATAGTTTTAAGTGAAGGACAGAAGGTCAGTGTTGTTTCCAAAGGGGGTGGAGAAACGGCTCCGTGACTGTTTGTAGTTATAATGACGTTTGTAGGGGGAAAGAATCTAACTTTCAAAAGATTTAAATGGGATTTATTATGTATCTAACAGAAAATGTGTTACCGGGAAAGAAGGAAATGCATCTTCCTAGTTCCTTCTGAAATTATAAACTGTCATCGAAATGGTTTTCACTACATGAATAATTTCATGCTTCTCCCTTTCAGCGCGGTGTGGACAAAAGTAACAAGAAACAGGTTTTATTGCGCCCCAAAATGATTTATGATAATGACTTCATCGCAATATCTATAATAGTTATAATAATAATGATAATAACATAATAATAAGAAGAAAAGTGACTCGACTTGACTTGTTTATAGCGTGTTATCTGATACGATATTATAGTATTTATATTATAACACTTAATATTTAATATTGCGGTATGTCCTGTCCCACCTAATGCAGCTTAAACCATTAAACACATCATATGTATATCCAAAAGACATATTAAGCCTTTGTAATGGTCTCGTTACTGTACGATTTTCGTGGTGTTTTGTGTGCCAACTTGAGTGGAATCATGAATTCCATCTCATGTGGAAAAACAGGTAAGTCATCAAAGCAAATATATTGAAGTGGCGATTATCATCTGCCGCCTCAGAGTGGGGGATGCGAACGGTTGACAGTTGAAGCCAGCTACACAGGGTGAGCAGCTCGTCAGGAAGCCTTTTGTCTTCAAGATAAAAACACATAAAGACAAAGGGCCTGTCTTTGTGATGACGTTGATGTGCGTGCTGGTGACATTAGCAACACAGTTAGAAGGGTAGGAGAAAAAAAGAGAGAGAATGTATCTGTAGACGTGTGATTATTCATGTGAGCACAATCGTTTTTATGTTTTGCGTGCTGTGTTTATGCACACACACAAGCGTGACCACGAGTTCTTTGTGTGTACCCATTCACCCATGCCTTCATGCGTGTGTGTAAATGTGTGCTTTCACTCCAGAGAGATTGGTGTCACAAGATCGCAGGGGTCAAGTCAGATACTCACAAAAGAACATTCCCTCAAGGCCAACTTCGATGAGCCGTTAAAAGGCGATCTATGTATGAAGGAGTTGTTTCCCAGCTGACCGTAATGGCAGTTGGACGTCATGGTGTCCAGAAGAGCACTGCCTCTTGACGTCGGAGTGATGCAGTGAGGTCAAATGGCTGATTTAGAGTTGTGACCTTGAGAGTTTAGGGAAAACTCAACAGCTTCGTTCTTGATGTTAGATTGGAAAGTAAAGAATGAAAGACACTATTCTGTTGGCTTGCAAGTGTGTGGACGTACTGTACTCATATGTAGGGTTAGGGTTAGGGTTAGCACCACTCACTGATCTTTAAGTTTAAACCCTACAGTGAGGAATAAGAGGTTTGTCTTTCTTCCATTTCTCCCTTCCTTCCCACACTTACTCCACACTCCCCTGCTGGGACCAGACAGGGCTTCTGTTCAAATCTCCTCCACACCCTCCTCTTCCCTCCTCCTTCCCAAACATTTCAGATTTCTCACTGCGGGGCTGAAAGAAGCCCATTACCTCACTCACTGTCCTGTCTCAATGCGATCAATGCACACCATGTCGGGCCGGGCTGACAGGAGTCGTGCTGTGCAGTAACACCCTACTCACTCTGCATCTGTGGCACCAAGCGGTGCTATAACCGACTCAGTCTTCCCTTCATAAACTCCATGCCGGTCCCTTTAAGAACCGCAGCACCCAGCGTCCTCCGCTGCACGCTGGCGCTACGTGATGTCACAACCAGACGCCTTGCTGGGTCTGCTTTCTGTCATCTCCTCTTCGTCTTTTTCTTTAGCTGATTTTCTCTCACAATGGATCTATCTTACCCATTTCTTCGTCCTTGTTTCACCTCTGATCCCCTCGTTCCTCCAAAACCCCAATGACCCGAGACTCTAAACAGGAGCGTACAGGAAGCCACGATGTCCGCCCCTAATTTCTGTTGCAGCATGCCACGTTGTCCAGCTGGGGACTTCTTGAAGCAATTGCCAGCTTATCAGTCTGTCAGCTGTAACTTGTGGTGCTGTAAGAGTCTGACTATCCCTTTGGGACAACATATTCTGGCTGTGGATCTCATTTGTATCTATCTATTATGGAAAATGAATGCAGTGGAATTCACCGTAGACAACATCAGCATCACCAATGATAGCATTGGAAGAAGTTGCCCACATTCTGCATACAGTTTGTCAAATGGAGCGTTGTGGTGTCCTATTGTAAACTAGAATAATGGATTGCGAGGGGTATCTTTAGAGAGTGTGTGTATGTATTTTTACCATGCCATTAACTGGGCCGCTGAGATAAAATACATTTTTATCCAGCTATAATTCTTCTCATCGCCCTTTCAGAGAGCTTTTAGCAAAGCTCCCTCAAAATCTGAAGGGTAAATTCTTGGCTGCTAAAATGAAGTGTCTATTGTGGCCTTCCTCTCAGTGCTGGGGACGGAATCCGGCTTCCTGTAGATAGCCCCTCATTCATCACCTGCTCTGAATAGCATGCAATGTCCAAAGATAGGCCCGTGGATAGAACAGGCACCGGGCATAGAGGCTGTGGATCTCCGCTTCTCTGGCAGGCCAGGTAGGGTGCCGTCAAGCACAATGTGCAGGGGATTAGCTTCAAAGCAGGGAAGCAAATGGGCCCCAGGCCCCTGCTGTCCTTTCAGGGCTCCGGCTGGGACTGCACGGCGGGATGGTGTGGGGGTCACAGGTTCCCCCGCCATGGGGGAGTGGGAAGGGAACAGAGCCTGGGAAAGGCTTGGGGCGGGGAGCTCTGCTGCCAAGGCTCACCTCTCAGCAGGTGACTCCGCTCACAGTGATTCTGGGATACAGACTTACTTCAGCTGCCAGGATGATTAAGCTCTGAGAAATTGGGCTTTGTGTCCCATTAGAAGTGTTTTATTTACCTCTACTGTATTGTGTACAGCTGTTTGTAACTCAAAAACTAGCGAAGTTGGCTTCCCATTTATTGGTGCATGTAGCTCCTTGCTATTCTAGAAGCCTAAACCCATGAAAAAATGGTCTGGTAAATACTTTTTGTATCAGAATCGTATCAATTTTGAAAACATAAACTGATATTAATGGAATGAATGAATAAGAACTTAGTTCATCACACGTAAAGGCGCCATCAAAGATTAGTAGCATCTTCTCGTTTCTCTTCAAAGTTTCTGCTGTTTTCACCAACCTCCAGTTCTTTTTTTTTATTATCTGGGTTTATTTGATCATCATAGTCATCGGCTAAGCCGATTTTCACATGCTGTCAGACGCATAGCATGGGGCATCGGGTAATTACTGCAGCAGATGGCTAACCCCTACCGGCTTGCATGCATAGCCCAAACTAGCTGCTCTTTTATATGTCCGATGGCAGAATAGGGCAAGGGGGGCAGATTTGTAGAGACAGAAAGGAGTGCGGCATTGAGGGCCGGTCTGTACAATTGGCAGTGGAGGTGGGAGGGCGGGGGAGCAAGCCAGATGTAAACACATCACATCACGCCTTCCTCTGACAATGGGAGGAAGCGGAGAAACTTTCCTTGCTTTTTTACCACCTTCCCAACAATTTGGCCGAATTGGTAGGGCACGTAGGTGTTATGGGTCCAGTTATAGGTATAGGAGGAAGAAAGGATGAATGGATCGGTAGATGGACAAGTTGTCATGACGACAGGATTGCTTCTGAGTGTGTGTTGGCTGATGAAGTCTCTCTTTGCCTGCTTGTCCAATCAGATGGCTGAGCAGCGCATGCAGCACGAGCAGGAGAGAACGCGGCTACAGCAACAGCACAGCGTGGAAAAGGACAGCCTGGTCCAGGAGCGCCAGTGGGAGGTGAGCAGCCTGGAGAGGCAGGCCAGGGCAGCCCTGCAACAGCACCAACAGAACACCCAGGAGTGGAGGAAGCTCGACGCCCAGGTAGGGGGTCTCCACTGATCCACGTTTGCACACACACACATGCTGACCCATCGCTCTCCCGTGGACAACCATTTTGTATTTCGCACATTGACGGTTTCCTGGGGTTTCAAAAGCACAGCGGGTTAAGACACTTTTTTTACTTGGAGCAGGACAGATATTGATATTGGGCGTGAATGATTTTATGGATAGCTGTGTATCGGTTGGTAGTTTACGAAATAATTTAGGTATTGCTATCTGAATGTTTTTTCTTATAATTTCGGCAAAAACAACGTCGCGCGGAAAGAAAGTTTTTGGGGGAAAATTGAATAAACTAAACAAAAAAGTCATACAGTGCCGACTTCTAACGTTGTTCTAAAAAATGTTTAAGATTTTCTTTCTATCGCAGCAGGGTTTTTTGATAGAAGTGCAAATATTTGAAATCCAGACACCACAGGTAGCCAGATGAAGGAGAAGAAATCTGTTCCATTGGGCGCCAAGGTTTTATTCTGAAACCCTGGGTCCAATTTCTCTTTTATTTTCCGCTGTAAGGTTATAGACCAGCGTCAAGCGCCCTCTACTCCCTCCGAAGTGTATCTCTGCATGGCATTCTCCTCTCACCGCAGGTAGTCATCTCCCTCCGGAAAACGCTGGTTATTCTCTTATTTCAGAATTGACGGCCACAATGAATGTATGACATTTGGATCTATATTAACGGGCATGCCTATTCTGTCACCGTTTAGCCAAACCAGCAGCAGGTCTTCATCTCGTCCCCTCGTCTTCGCCTCTCTCCAGCCTGGGCTAGCTTGAAGCTCTGTGGGACGCCATTTGACAAACCTGCCCCCAACTGTGGATGTGTTTGACTCTTTAGGCTTCCTGATCAAATGGACATTGTCAGCATGGAGATAATTTTTGTTTATTGGTCATTAGCTGGATATGTGGATCCAGTTACAGTCGCACCAAATGGATGGCGAAGAAGTCGGACTTCACGTACATTTTTTTAAAGTTGTATTCATCATAACTTAGTACAGATATTTACGACAAAGGGGCATTCAAGAGATTAACACATACCACAAAAAAACAAACCAAAATTAAGTTAACTGTCCTACACTGTATTGATGTTGAAAGCCTATTTTTCTAGTAAAATGCAACCATTTCTAACAACTAAAAAGACTCTTAGGATATCAAAATATAATCTTTTTGACTCTGACATTTCTTTTTTTTTATGTTTTCATTTAAGGTTGTAATATTGAAACTAGGAGTGATGCTCCGCCTGATGTTCAAAACGGCCCCCTGTCGGTAGCTCAAATATCAAAAATATTCTTTCATACTAGGCTTCACATACACTGAGGCAATTCTTTTAAACACTGCGAGAAGCCATCTCAATCGCCATGCCAGTTATTATAATACTGGTTGCGCCACAGCATTCTGAAAATGTACTTCAAAAAGCAACAGGGAGAGGTGCTCTCTAATGTGCCCCCGTCTAATTCTTTGGGGTGAAATGTTTTTCACAGCCCCAATGCCACCAGCTAGTGTGTTATTTTTGCTTTTTGGAGATGCCGTCACAACAGGACATTTCTGCTGATAACATGCTGTCCTACTCGTGTCAAAATGACGTGTTGTTTCACGAATCCTTGGATCTCAGAAGGTGACAGAAAATAAACTTCTCCAGTGCTCATCTTATATTCTCAGTTCCCGTTTGCTTGAGCAGCATTTTGAGTAGAGATGCGTTAACGTCAGATGTTAACGCAGCAGAAATCAAGATTTTCACTCGGGCCTTGGAAAGATGAAGGATGGGATTGTGAGGTCTCTGAAAGTGTGGTGTGGATGTGAGCTGGTTTGACTTCCTGTTTGAGCACATGGATGTGCGGTTTAAATGACAACAAGCTGACATAAGTAGCAGATAAAAGGCCACTTACTCCTAAACACTTGTTTGTTTACCAAAGTTGTTTACCACCAAGGATATCTGTGCTGTCATACTGCTAGCAATGTGGCCTTTTAAACGTATAACACAGGGCGGAGAAAGTGTGGAAATGTTCATTGAATCTTCAAAAAAGAGCATTTTGTTAATGCACACAGAAAACATAGAGCACTTCCTGTAAAGCAAATTCTCTGGCTTGTTTTCTCCTTTGCTTCTGGGAAGCTCAGGACTTTTTAAAACAACACGCTCCCACCACATGGGTCGGATGGGCAGTATATTATCTTCAAGTGACATGTCAGTAACCGTCATGCCTGCTGTGGCAATTGAACCATGGCCTCATTATTTCTGCCTCCCTTCTTCTCACACTTTCTCTCAGTCTTCCTGGAATCAGGGCAAGGATAGTTGCAGCTCGGAAGTTGGGAAGTGAACAGCAAATGTCAGTCACACACTCATAGGATGAGTAATACCCACTCATCCCCTTGATGTGGTGGGACACTAATAAATAGCATTCCTGACTTGCCAATGAGTCGTGGCATCGATTTAAAAAAAACTGGGACACGTTGTCCTCCTCCCACCAGAGCACTTTATCCAAAATATTGAGCCCACCGTGAAGCAGCTGCAAATTATAAAGGCTAGTAAACACCGATGTTGTGTAAGCCAAGGAGCTTCTATTTGTCTCATGTCCACACTTTAGGTTATATTTAATTGTTCTGTTTGTGCCTTAAATGGTATAATATCCTTAATGGAAGAATCTGAATTATGCTGCTGGATTCTAGGCCTGGCGTGGGGCTGGCATCCCACCGACTCTGGGGATTAACTCATACATTCTCAGCCTCTTGGAACTCAATGTTCTCTTGAAGGAAAAAAAATGTTTGAAGCTGAAAAAAATAGAAGTATGAAAAGAAGCTCCCAGACAATTCTGCATTGTCCCGTCAGCTGATCAATGTCTCTTGAAAGATGAAGAAGCTTTGTTTTTGGGATCCATACCCACTACATCCTCTAAAAGGCTCCACTTCCTGATGTAATGGCCTTTTCTTTTCTTCCTTCTACAGACATTGTGATGAAATCATCCAGCCATGTTAAACAAATCAATGTTAAAGTAACAGGATGGGAGAGGAACACTATATCTTTTGTGTAGTCACACTGGATATGAAATGATGGCTCATACTTCTACAATTACGAAGTTTACCTTGAAACTTTTGTATTATATATATTCCCTACAAAATGATGAGTTTTTCGAGAATGTACAGATGAATTCTATTGAATGTAAAACAATTTTAGTTTTTCACTCTTGCTGTTCTTAATATATACTCCATTTTGTGTATTTTCAGTTTTTAAACATTAGTAAGAGTCGGACTTCAAAAACTAGGACAAGCATTATAAATGAATTTTAAAGCCTTGCGAACAACACAATTGTTTGTTCTATAAAAAACGTATCATTCATATTCTTCCCACCAGCTCCTCCTCCAAACTCATTTTATAGGTATTATCTTCCCAATTAATTAATGTATTTTCTAAAGGAAAACGTGCACGCCATCTGGACTTCAAACAGCATGGGAGAGAGGGAGAGTCTGGTGAGGTCTTTCTTCTGGGCCGTGATGGACTAAATAATGATGCTGTCAATTTTTCAAAGCATTTCAATCCCAACTACGTGATTAAGATGAGTCAAATGAAGAGGGGGATGACAAGCTGAGTCAAATAAGAGGGTGTCAGATGAAGGGAGGCAGCTAGACCAGTGTGCACGTTGATTGTCTCTGCGCTTGTGTACTGTCACTAACCAAATGATTGTGTCCCTGAGATCTGGTGTCGTTAAGCAGATCTTGTCTTGTTACTCAATGACTTCCTGTAGCAGATCCTACTATGACTGGCATTGTGGTTTAAGAATGATTTCATCACGTCTTACTCTTCCCATGTCCTGTTCATCTGAGGTTTTATGTTTTTCTCCTTCATTCTGAACAATTGGTCATGGGAAAGTCATCAGTGACTGCTGGTGTTCTGTGATGTGTGGAGCATGCTCTCTTTTCAAAACAGGAAGCCATTTTAGTATGTGCATACATCACATATTGTTGATTTCAGGCAGATGCATTTTTAAATGGCAGGCTGAAAAAACACATTTATTACAACATCTTACCTACATTTTGTTTTTCTTAATTAAACTATAACACGAGTGCAAATGTATTGTATGTATCTAAGTCTAAACATGAATACATTATTTGCCTGTCGAGGAGTAAACGGACTGGTGATTTTATCAGTTATAACTTTTGCGTTTTACTCTGTTGTATTGCTAAATGCTAACACAAAGCCAGTGCATTGTTTACATTTACATTAAGTATATTATGCCCCTTTTAGCACTTTGGGATCACTTTTATCATTGAAAGGTGCTTTACAAGTAAAATGTATTATTATTTAAACAAATGTTCTTTAATAGTTAATTATTTAACTATTTGTCAGAGCAATGCAGCACACAAAGTATTAGCTTTCCCGATAGCATAACGAATAGAAGCAGTGGTAAACAACTAAGCTATCCTAATAAGCCTCGATTTGGAGTTCAAGCTAAAGGTTGTGTCACCTGTCATGCTAATGCACAATATCATTTCTCACAGCAGTCATTTGCAGGAACAGAACAGATGCAACCACAGTAATGAGATTAATTCTGGGTCTACAGCATTCAGGTGTGCCTGTGAGCCAACGTGCACAATGCCAGGGCCTGCGCTGACATGCACAGATGGAATTATACATTTTATTAGCTGTGCCTCAGGTTTTTTCTGTTTATAGTTATGTCACTTTTATGTAATCCTTTTTTTAAATTACTGTTAATATATCACTTTCTTTTATAACATCCACAAATACATTCCCACATTAGTATAACAATAGCATAATTAATCTATTCAAATTCATTTGAATGATTTACCAATGTTTTCCTCTTTTTTTGTTTTTCTAAGTCGAGGCCATTCTCTTTCAAATATGTGGACACCCTGCATAATTGGTTTTATTTCTACAAGGGAGGCCCGCCCGCATATCATAGAACAGTGATAGGAGTGGCCGCTTTGTTGTTGTTGCTGTCAAAAACTAAATTATAGCGACTCTACTTTTATTACCAGCACATCCTGGCTGTTCACTCTATAAAGGATTCTGCTTGAACAAATGTAACATTAAAGTTTGCAAAGAGAGTAGCACATGGGTAATAAAGAAAAATCCCTTAAAAAACCAACTTTGTAGTTATTGTGGCAGAGCAGCTACTTCTGGTGTTTCTTTTTCTGTCTCTTTTTATATACATGTTATACATAAAGACCTACAGTCACTAATGGAGTCTTATAACTTCTCTTCAAAATGTTCTTGTCTCGATGGAAACGTATTATGTCTGTTAACCAGCCTTCTGTTGGTTCCCCAGTCTTTAGTCTTTTTAGCTGACACGATTTGACCCAATATATTTCATTTGACACTCTCCTATTGTCACCAAGAGCTGCTTCATCTCAAAGCTGCACATCTGCATGCTAACATGTGCCCTGTTGGAAGTGGCCCTGCTCACATACTTCCAAAGGAGACATGCTCTTTTGGCCTCTTATGTTTCCGAAGTGTCAATGCCTCTGTTCTGGGAAATTATACTCTTACTTTTTCAAGGATTTTTTTTTTTGGAAGGCAGATCATCCACATTTGTTAAAGAGAGAATTATACATTAAACATCCTCAAGAGTTCAGTTCTAATAGCTGCTTGCCCTTGAAGGCGCAAGTGAAGCAGTGAGACGGGTAATGTTGAGGAACAGCACTGGGACACAGAGATAGAAAGGATTGCTTGTGTTTGGTTTTTACCTCATATTCTCTCTGACTGTGTTGCATGCGATTGTATGTGTGCGGCAGCCTGACCATGTGTGGCTGTTTGTCTGTTTATGTCTGTGTGTGCGCATGTGAGTCTGTCTGTGTGTGCCAGTGTTGGAGGGAGCACAACACGGAGCCACAGCATCTGCCTGTTTTTGTGACACTCCTTTGAAGTCTCTTTGATTCTCCCCAGTGCCCGCTAAAAAAGACTTCAGACACTTTCCGTCTGATTGCCTTAGCATGGCGTTGTCCTTGGATGCCCAGGCTTTTAGCGTGGAGGGCGGGGGGGTAAGAAGCAGAGCACATAGTTTGAACCAAAGTAAGACATAAATCAAGTAAACCAAGGAGAGTAATGAGGATGTGCAATAGCTGTGCAATGTAGGTAGGGAACTGTGAAACACCCAAACTGCAGTGCTTCTTAGAACCACACTTCACTAAATTCATATTTTCTTATTGCTTGTTGTAAATTGTAGGGAATGATCATATTATACTGACAGAAGCAATATATGTGATTATGTTCAACACATTTGTGAAAGCTTTAAGTGTGAAACAATGTAAAGTGTACATTAAAGGGGACAATTATGTTAATGTTTAAGCTAAAACTTTGGCTTTTTTGCCTGAACGTTTTAACATGCTTAAATATTCAAGAACCACATAGTTATCCTCATACTCTCTTTCTGATTATACATGTAATAGTTATACATTAAAAACACTCTAGTATAGCGTTTGTCTCTTTAAGACACACTCCAAAAAAGACTACTCTGCTCTGATTGGTCGGTTTTTCCAGGTCTTCTGTATCTGTTGCTCTCTGTGTCTTTTCAGCCGGGGAATGACTGTAACAAACTGGGGCGCCACGTTCTACCTAAGTGTAGTATAATTGTGACATCACAACATTACACATTTTCTGGCGGCTACTTTAAGCTCTTTGAGCACCAGGAAAAGCGCATTATAAATGTAATGTATTATTATTATTATTATTATTAGTATTATCACTATCACTTTAAAGGCACAGTTTTTGTGCAAACCTACTTGAATAGAAGTTATGATAGTTTCACAGTGTTTTTCTAATAGCACTCAAACCTACTTTATAATACAAAAATATGCATGGTTATCTCACTTTTCAAAATAAAATACTCTTAAAAAAGGAATTATTTTAGGTTTTAGGCAATAAACCTTCATCAAACAAACTGTGAGGCAATTTTGTGAAAACAGTAAGCTTCTTTTTTCTTTTTTTTGCATATCCTAAACTCTTCAATCTATCTGAGATTGAGTGTCATTGCTTGTGTCAGACCAGTCTTATTTCTGGTGTTTCAGAGGCTGTGGGGTTTGGCTTATTAGCATTCCTGCTATATAATGTTGATGGTCACTGGCAGCACTATTAAAGAGCTCTTCTGGTTGAAGTCAAGGCTGAGCAGTTCAAAAAGAGAGAGGTTACACCATCACAGCAGCCCCTGCTAGAGTAGTCAAAAAGAGAAACATTTCAGCATGTTTGTGAAACTCAAACTCTCTGCAGCATCCTTTTAATCATTCCTATCAATACAGAGCATTTCTTAACATCTGCCTGTTGTAGCATCTCTCATTGTGGTATCTGTGTTTATTTGTTTTTATATTATCACCCTACACGACACATCATTTACTCTTTTTTTTCTCCTTGTTTCTCCCATATTCATGAGGGAAATGGAGAACCTCATGTGTCAGGGACAGAAATAAATACCATGTCCTGATGAATGGTTACCATCACTTATCGTAGTCGACTGTACATTTCTTTTCTTTTTTGTGACCAACTTTTTATTGTTTTCTTGTTGCCCTCACAGACGGACTTATATACACAAATACAAATGATATAGACAATAAGAGAAAAAGAAAAAGTTAAAATAAAGGGAATCCCTTTCCCACGCCACCCTGTCCCTCCCCCTTCCCACCCATCTTGCCATTTCGCAGAAATCTTACTGATGTTTGTTAGAAATCGCCTGAGTTCATCTATCTATTATATGATTTATATTATTATATTATTTATATTATAGCCTAACCATTTATACACATCACATACATTCATAAAAAAAAAATCAGAAAATGTCATCTGAATTGAAATTGACTCCTAATCATCTACAAATGCACCAAGGTGTGCATATATGTACAATCTTAATTTACACGACTGTACATTTCTGTTTCCAATTCCTCGCAGACGATTTCAGATTTGGAATCTCAGTTGTCGAGTCTAAGTGAGGATCTCCATGGAGCCAATGAGAAGCACAAGCAACAGTTGGCTGAGATGGCGTTACTCCGGGAGGAAGAAAAACAAAGAGAATTCCTGGACAGAGAGGCATCGTTGGACCGGCTCCGCTCGGACATGGAGCGCATCCGCAGCGACCTTGAGGAAAGCCACCAGCAGGAGAAGGACGCGGCTCAAGAGAAGGTGGGTGAAGGGTTCATGAAACACATCACATCACTTCCCTCTGTGGATAAATGCATTTCAAACAAAGGTTTCATAACATGTGAAACGTTCTTCCGTTCACAAGCAGTTTCTCACAAAACAGAGTGGATGGCGCTCGTGTTTGAAATAGCCTCGAACCAGTAATTAGGTAGAAAACACTGGGCAGAAGAAGAAAAGCTGTGTTTATTCCTGCATACAGCTGTGGTTGCCTTTCAGCCTGTGGGAAGTCAGCTGCTATTACCACTAGAAGTGGTGTTGTTGTATGTTTTAGCAATGTCCTTGTGCAGGCAATAAATCATTTGTATTTTTTCTTTGTATCTCAAAGTGTTTCTCTGTATGTCTGCCTCTTTGTATATCTCTTTCTCCAATAGATGTTTGTCAGAGGATATTGGAAAAATGTTGTCTCTATCAAGCTATTATTTCAAATCAGTGCAGACAGTGAGAACAGATTGTGTGTGAGTGTATGCTTGACGTGGACTTGTTGTATAGTGCTTTTATTCGAAGCCTTTTATAACTCTTGATCACCCATTCTCCCACACAACGTTATCAGCAAGCTACCAAACAAGGCACGTTCAGTGTTTCACCAGACCATGTGTACAGTAGGAGCGGGGGATCGAACCGATACAACCCACTCTACCTGCTTAGCTTTGACCGCCCCCAGAGAAAGAAGGCTTGCTCGGGTTCGCAACGACCGCCGGTTCAGTTTTACAGATCAGTACATCTTAATGTTTGCACATCCAAGATGGGGTTAAACTTTTGTACATGTGACCTCTAAGATTTACCCACAGACTCAAAGAGCCTAGTGTTATTGAGAAATGTCCTTGTAAACACCAGAAAAAAACATGTCAAATTACTATTAAAGGTTTTTACTCCGTCATAGATAGAGTCTAAACCGAGTGTTGCGTCAGATAGTTATGCATCCCTAATGTTGTTATGGAACTTTGCCTTACCCTCTTACCATCATGGGATATACACTTTTTCATCGTTCGGGGATTTAAGGGACAGTCACAAAGTGAAAACCACAGACATTGCCCAGCTTTACGTTTTGCTATCTTTGAGAACCAGGAAGTGCTTCAATTAGAACTTCTGAGGTTTCCTGTCCCTTTCTTTCTCTCTTTCTGTCTTTGATTGCTTCCCTGGCCACTACAGAAACTGGACCCCCGTCTTTGAAATCACCCATAATCTTGTGCTGGTCTAGCAGGAAGCTGACCTAAGGTGGTGTTGATCAGAACCTAATCCCTCTGCAGGTCCCATCAAAGAGAGCATTTTTCATTAGACACCAGCCCGCCCCAGCTGCGCAGCATTAGCCCCGGAATGCAGGGACCTCCAAAGCACCCAGCCGGCCATTTTGGCTCCATATGGCACACAGAACCTGGGGTACTGAAGGGAGAGGGATCCGAGGAGAAGAGTGTGCTTATTACAGGGTAATCCTCGTTTGAAGAAAATGACGCTATTTCCTATCAGTCCCTTTAATTCATTTTGGGATACGAGAAGGCTGTTTTGCAACTGAAAGATGATTTATCTTTTTTGGCTCACTTTAATTCCTCTTCCATGGGAAAAATGACCCACAGTTGTCGAGGAATCTGGAGTGGATTCAAAGCAGTGATGCTATATGTTGAACTGAGACTGATAACACTATAAGAAATGTGCTAGTTTCACTTTTCATGAAAGAGATTAATGATTTCTCAGTCCCTTCTTGTCAGCTCAAAGTACATTTCTTCTAACAAAAAAAATCACAAAAAGGTCGAAACAGCTTTGCTTTTTTTTCTTATCTGTGTCCAAGTTAGACTTGGGATTGGGGAAAAGTTTCACTTCTTCTTTGCGCCCTGTTTTTTTTCACGTGGGATTGAAGTCAGCCAGCTTTCAGATCCATATTGACTCGTTCGCCCTGTTTTGTGAGCTGAAATGTCTCATTCTTTTGATGCACACAGAAATGCTGTCCTCTGCAGTCCAACATACTCTTGGAAGCAGAGGCCAGCTTTTTTTTTTTTTTTTAACACATCTCCCGGATCCTGGAAAAAAGGCCAGAGAAATCCATTAAATCCATGAATGGATTCCCATCAAAGACGCATGCGTTTATGGGAGAGACAGAGAAGGAGAGAGGGATACAGGGGGATGTTTTGGGAGTAGACTGTCGAAGCTGTTGGAATGAAATAATGAGAAACAGAAAATCAGAGGAGATCAGACGTTAAGATTTGAGCTGCACCAAAAAGAAAAGAGCTGAGAAGGAAAAGTGATGGAGGTGGGCTGAGTAGAAGGTGTGGGGGGGGTTAGTCTGCTTGCTATTGAAGTGTGTGTGTGTGTGTGTGTGTGTGTGTGTGTGTGTGTGTGTGTGTGTGTGTGTGTGTGTGTGTGTGTGTGTGTGTGTCGCGCACACACACAAACCCAGACCTCCCAATCTCCGTTCTCCACTGAGGGGCCTGTGAAGCTGCCTCTGTGCCTGATAAAGATGCCTCATCTCTGGGCTACAGTGAGCACCAATCCGGCCTCCCTCACACCACACATGATCCAGTGGTGGAAAGTAACTAAGCATATTTCCCCAAGCACTGTACTAACAGAAGTATATTCTTCGGTGCTTTACTTGAGTAAAAAAGTCACGTCTGTTTAGTCTGGGTTACATTTCAGATGCCTATGAGTTATTAAAAAGGTCCACCAATACATATACATATATGTATATATTAACCTCAACTTGTCAGATGATTTTATGTCAATAACATGTAAAAAAAACTACATTTTGCGGCTATTATTTATACTTCTTTTTGTAATGTTTACATTGGTGTAGTGCGACCTTTACTCCAGTTAAGGCTCTGAATACTTATTCCACAACTGCCATGATACCTACCACATAAAACATAGGTTATCTTTTGCAGTAAGTGTGTATAATTAGCTTTAAGTATGGTAAGTGGATGAAAGGTCTTTCTGTTTGACCTCTTCACCTCACTCAGCTGTATAATACTCACTCCCTGCTTGTCAAACCTAGAGATCTGAGATACTGTAAGACAAAAGATCAGATAGGGAATGAATAACGTCTGGAACCTTGCATTCATATTCTCTCTTAGTCTGGAGAGCATGGCTTTTTGATCTGCCGTGAGGAGATTACATGTGCAAATGCTGCCTGATATGTTTGTGTGGACCCAGGTGTTTGTGCATAATTGAGTGTGTCATAAAGAGAGCGCAAACTTATATATATTTGGTGTTGGCACATGCACTCCAGACTTTTTGTATATTTTTAAGAACCCTCTTTCTGGTGGCTTTTAATTGCTTCTGTAAATGTCACCATGCACTTGCAAAAAAAAAGGAAAGCACGTGTGTATTTGTAGTACTTTCAGGTGCATGTGTGTACATGCCTACTTTCACTTCAGATCAAAGGGCGAGGGCATTTCATCAAACACTAACCAAGTGTGACAAAACCACCTGGAGGCAAACATCAGCCAATGAGGAAGCAGCTTTTTGGCATGCAGTGGCCAATTCCTGCTCCGTGTGTCACAGCACCCAATGTCCCTCTGGCCCTGTCCCATGTGTGTCCCTTCACTGGAAAGTCTCTTCTTAGACACACACACACACACACACACACACACACACACACACACACACACACACACACACACACACACACACACACACACACACACACACACACAAACAGGTTGATTAGGAAGCTGGAGTGTGAGGGTCTGTGTCTTGAAGTTGCTTTTGTTTGTCCCACAGGGCAATTCTTTAAATGTTATTCTTCTAGAAGTTCCAACTTGTTGGTTCACAGTGTATGAGCAGGCATAGTAGTCAGGAAGTTTTTTTTGTGTATACTCACTTATAAAATGACACAGTTGTAAAGGGATTTTAGATGGCTTGTCTGAGTAGATGCTGATGCTCTTTTGGAGCATTGGCTACAAACAACATCTAACACAAACAAATGTACATGGTTTTGTTTGTTTATGACTTCTTATGGACTAGATACTGATGGTCGCTTAGATAAGAAAACACTTGTTTGTGATCAGTCACACAGCTGGAAACTGTGAATCCAGGGGAAGTTTATAACCTTAGGCTTCAAAGCCTCATTTAAGTTGTTAGGAAAAGGAAATCCATTTGTGTTTGTTTGTAGTGCTGTGCAGAAAGCTGACCGGGCGTTCTTTTCATGTGGCCGGACACGCATCTGTTTTCACACTACGTCCCATGTGTGGACACAACCTTGTCCATCCTTACATGTGGTTTCCACTGATTGGATCGTAATGTGTTTTGATGTGTTCTGGTTGCTTTCACATCCATATTTAGAGCTGTGTGCATTTGTGAATGGACCACCCAAAATGTTTTTAGTGCAAAACCTGCACACTGATCATGGTCCCAGTCTTTGTTGTTTCCAGGCTTCCTTTTTTCTGTGGATCAATATGTGTGGATCACTGCTACCTCTTGTTGATTTGACCTGTGTGCTTTTGAAATCAGTTTACATTGACACAGGGAGACCACAAGCAAAGATGAAACAATGTTGTGAATTAGTTTTTTAACCTGTATATCCTCTAAAACCACAGAGAATACATTATTATTGTACACTTAACATTTTGTTTAGCATCTAAACCGCTAAAATTACACTAGCTTTGATTTTCAGCTCCTGTGTGTGTGTGTGTACCGTTCTCTCTCTCAGCCAGAAGATGGTGGTACGAGGTTGTTGTTGTTGTTATTGTTGTTGTCGTAGCCACGTCTTGTTCTTCTCTCTTGCCCACTGTCACTGCTGACTTATTAGGTTGGTCCTCTGCCATTTGGAGATATACCAAATCACATTATTCAGTTGGTCATGGATTAGAAGAGGAGGAGAGAAACATAGGCTGAGGGATGATCAAAGAAGGCCCGAATCCACCTCACACTAACACTCTAAATGGGAGACACAAAGAGATTGGGGGGGGGGGGGCAAAGCATAGGATCAGATTTTTAGGCGAGAGACTCAGACATTTGAGTGTAAGGCTTTCAGATTATTGGATCAATGTGACTGC